GATCAGCTCTAGGCATGACGAAGCGGATATCGTCCTCTTTTGGAAGGCCAAACAAAGTAGTTTCGCTTTCACAACGAAGCACACAGCGTCTTCAGGACATGGCGGCGGCAGCAACAATACTACAGCGAGAATAAAAGTTACTCCTTCTTTCTTTGTGTGAACATTTGGGCGGTGTTATGCAAATCTTCCCAGATCGTGACGTAGGTTTGTTGGGGGCGTGTTAGAACGAGCCGTTTTAGGTAGGCGTGGCTGACTCTTAACTTTTATGAAGAATATCTCTTTGGATTTGAGACTTTAGTCTTTGCAACTTTACAGATCTTCTTTATGCACCAAGAGCTTGTAACACTCCAAAGATAAAGGAAAAATTGAAATCGCGTCATATGACCCCTTTAAAAACATTTGACATATTACATATCATTCAGTGTCTATTTCAATTCGCAGCAGCTTTTTCCACATAGTCTAACGCTCTTTTCACATAGGCTAATTAAATGTTCTCTAATCCAACCTGTTACATTTCATTTCATTAGAGTAATAAAATGAACTACTGACTTGTACTCAGTCGACAGCAAGAAGGCAGAGGCTCGCAAAAAGTGGGGAGAACCTGCACCAGCACCACTGAAGAGGAGATGATCAATTATTGGAAGAATTTTAAAATCCAAAAGGAAAAAAAAACTGTTGCTTTTGTATTTGTAGGAAATAAAGATGACCAAATAAATTGTGAATAATTTGTTTATTTAACAGCTGTGGTGGTGGTTACGGCTTATATCTCGTACTACCCTTTCATCTTGGCATTCTTCCATTCCATGCAGTAATCCAATTCATTTTCAAGGTGCGATGATGGAAATATGCGTGTCATCAATGCATCCAACCACACTGGAAATCCTGAAGAAAATTCTAATTATTGGGTTACTTCCAGAGGTCGCAGCAAGATGTTATCAAGTGAACTTCATTTATCAGATATATACTTCATTTATACACCACTGACCTACAGTCCAGTGATAGCCTACTCCTCTTTGACAGATTTGTGCCCAGAAAAAAATTCTCAGAATGAGTGTGAGAGCGATGCACACTTTCCTTATCGGTCTGCATACAACGGCCTTAATAATGTGCTCTGCATCTCCGCTGTTTTAAAGAAAACTACCATTTAAAATGGTACCACTCAAATAAATATGCATGTGTGGATATGGCAACAAAAAAAAACTCCCTACGAATTTGTGCAGCCTCCTCTTCTACAGGATCCTGTATAAAAGGAGATGCCATTTTTGTCACTTTGACCGTGTCTGCATGATGAACATATGCGCAATGAATAAATGTACCTGCACTGCAAAAAATGCTTTTCTTACTTAGAAGTTGTCTTCTTGTTTCCAGTCGAAATATCTAAAGATTCTTAAATCAAGATGCATTTTCTACAAAAAAACAAAAACAAATGACATACGGTATTTACAGTAGTCTTGTTTCCATGGGGAAAAATTGTTTAAGTGCATTTTTCTTATTTTGCAAATGATCTGCCAGTGGGGTAAGACATTAAATTAATCGTGTTTCCGTTTGCATTAAGATTATTTTTCTTACCCTATATGGCAGACAATTTTACATGTTTTACGTTAAATGCACTTAAAGGGGTCATAGGATGCTACATGCACTTTTACAAGTTGTTTGAACTGAAATGTGTGTTGGCAGTGTGTGTACACAACCACCCTATAATGATAAAAATCCACCCAGTGTTTTTTTTTTAATCTGGTTATGCAAGTTGGGTCTCTATTGTCTCTATAATGTTCATGTGGTCTGGGATGTGGACATAACGCACGTTTCGGCCCGTGATGAACAAGTCGTCCATACTGGACACGCGTCCACGTCTGTCCCTGTACAGAACCTTCTCCAGCCGGATGTTCATGAAAGCGTCCACGTTAATAACACGTCCCCTCGCCGTGCTCTCGTCTCGCAGGTCAACGGTGGTCACCTGGCCATGCAGACCCTGCAGGAGAATCACCAGACTGTTCTCGGCGATGGTGCGCTCACGAATGGAATGGCTCACGTCCATGTTCACCTGTGCACAGAGACGTCATTAACAATCAGACAAAGTCATCTGTCTTTCAGTGTGAGTAATTTAAGAACCACTTTCTTTATAATTTATTTCTTTTTATGACACCAAAGAAGACGAAAAGCACACCAGTGATTCTCTGCCAATTCATTTTAAAAAGGTAGCCCCAAATAAATGTATGATTTGTATTACAACTTGAGCTACACGCTCAACATTTCTATTTAAATGTTTTTGAGCATGTGCATACTTACATATAAATAATGATAATTACAGGTTTCTGAGAGGCTCTGCTGAAAGACAAACCGCACATTGCATGGAAAATATGCAAATTAGGTTTGTTGTCTAACAAGGTGAAATCCAGAATGAAAAGTAATAATGTCAGTAAAAATGAACTTTTAGCCACACAAAAATTCACTTTTTAAAATCTTATATAACAAAATATCAAACAAAGTATTTAAAGACATTTTAAGCACAAAAACTTAAGTAACACAAACATACGATTAGCCTACATTTCATATATACCGGGTATGTATTTTAACCTAATATATTTTAAAAATAAGTAAAAAATATAATATTATTTAATAATATTTAAAATAAACACAATATTATTTTTGTTTTGTTTTTTAAATTATATATATATATATATATATAAAATGTGTGTGTGTGCTACTAAGTTTTTTTTTGATGATCTGTTTCCAGTAACAATGCATAGTTTGGCTGTAGTACTGAAATAGTAGCTTGTTGCAATGACTACCTTAATACATGCTTAAAAAATACTAGTATCGAATGAAGTACTATTTAACGAATAGTTACTAGTGATCACTGAAAACGATATAGTCACGAATCACGATAGACGTTTGGAATATTAAGCTTTCCTGCAACTTTACCTTTAACGTCCTTACTGAGGCATGTTACAATCACATATGCAACTTACAGTAAAAACATTCATTTTATTACCTTACTTTGTGTTGTCTAACATGCTCAAAGCATGTTTACATCCTAGTTTCGAGCGCCGCGCTTCGTCGCAGAGTAGAGCGACGTCTTCTTCTTCTTCTTTTCAGTTTAACGGCGGTTGGCATCCACCTTATTGGTGCATTACCGCCCCCTTCTGTGCCGGAGTGAGTGACGTCATCAAGACGTACCGGGCTGAAATCGCACGCGCTCCCAATATCGTAGCAGGGTTGCTCCTCAAAACTAAACATGCAAAAATACCAAACTACTCGTGCTTTAACTGCCTAATTATTTGTATAAAATATTTTTTCTTCCCCCACACCCTTACTTGTGTTATGCGCTTAAATTTTAGATTTTTATGTTAAAACAATATTGTACACAGTATCTATACATAAAAAAGTACTTTGTTAACAGTTTTGACAACTTTGAAAACATAATATAGAGAATGTCAATAAATAAATCGATAAATAAAAAATAAAACAATTGAAAAATAAATCTAACCCATGTAAACTTACACCAACCTGACATGTATAAATTATATTGAAGGTTATATTGTTGACACTTGTCTAAATGTATGTTGGTTTTCTGTCAGCAGAATGAAACACCGCCTAGATATGTCAATCAAGATGTCAATCAAATAGGACATATTAAACTTAGACATTATAGACACAATGTGCTTTTTTATGAAGAAGACAAACTCAGATTTTTCAGTTTTCAACATTTTTCAACCGGTTTAAAGTTTAAAGCTTCACATCATGTACGAAATCATAAACACAACCCGTTACAGTGCGCTTCCAGCTTGTTCTTAATCATGTTTTTCATGTTTTTGTATAAATGCCAGGCATTTCCAAATCTACCATATTTTTCTGTAACATTTCAGACCTACCACATGTTTCCTGACTCACAATCTACAGCTCATCCATCATGGCCAGCAAGTCATCCCCCTTGTTCCCGGGTCCCTCTGTTGGGCTTCCCCCTTCATCAAATTCTCCCGCTATGCGTGCCAGCTCAGCAGGCACGTGCACAGGTAGGGCTCAGCCTGTGCAGAGCACATGCCCTTTTTGCCCTCGGGGAGCACATGCCCCTCAAAAGGTCTGTGCACGGCCCTGCAGCTCAGTACTGGCCAGCTGATCCTGAGAATATCAAGGTAAACATTTTTAAAAAAGTTATTTATATTGAGCCATTTACTGAAGCTTAGAGTTTGGTATTAATAAATAAGGAGTAAACTTATGACTGGGTCACTAATATAAAAAAAAAAGAAAGAAAAAAAAAGATGTATCGATGTGGTTTGGGATTACCACAAATTCAGTATGCACATATTAAAGTAATTATTTAGGGCACCTAACACTAAAAGATTATTGCAAACTCATAAAACATTCCTGAATTAACAGGAACAAATGTGTGGTTGCTACTTTCGGTGTTAACTTCCTGGTAACTTACATTTGAATGAAAATAAAATCATATGCCAAAAAGCTCTTAAATTAAACTCACCCTGGAGCAATGCTGGTGTTTCTTAGTAAATGATAGTAGGTTTTACTAGTAGCATAGGACATTCCCAGCCCTGGGCAACAAACTAAAGTAAGACAAGGACATGAGCAGATTTGTAAATTGCATGACACAGCACCTGTGTGGCTTATATGTTTATGACTCTAGATGATTGATGCTCCGTTCCTTCTGAAATTCCACTGAAAAACATTTTGAGAGATTTGGTTATTTATTACAGTAATACATATTTTTACCTGTGATTTTCAATCAAGCCTTCTGTAAAATAAAATAATTAATCTGACAAATTTTGTTATTGATGTCTTTATTCTTTTTAAGACATGCAAATTTTGTTTTATACACTAGATTGTAGGTAAATATCTATGGAATAAAATCGCTGTCAAAAATAATCGTACGTAATTCAAAGCATTTGTGTGTCATTTTAATTTACTCGTGCGTAATTTAATCCACCTCACCCAGCACTCTTTTTGTTTTCTTATAAAATACCCTGTTACTATTTCCCTGTGAGAAACCACTGTCCTAATGAATCAAACTGAATTGCAAACAATTTCAGACCTTTATGAAATCTGGCATCACTAGTTCTGATTCTAAACAGCCGATAGAAAAAAACACATGACTATATTGCTGAAATATATCATACAAATTATTCTCAGGTCGGTATATGGTAATTCATATTCACATATAAAGATTTACCAATATTGAGGCTCGTGCCTCAGAAAAGAAATATCTAGCAACACCCCATATTGTGTGTATGTTTATGTCATTTTTGTAATAGTTGTTGTATTTTATTTTTTTTGTATGTATGCCTCTGTAGTTTTTATACATTTTATTTTAGTTTTAGTTGGAGTTATTTCAGTACATCAAGTTAAACTAAATTGAAATGAGAAACACTGCCTTGGCAACTAGCTGAAATAAAATTAGTTTAAGTTTTTTTTAACATTTAAGTTAAAGTTTATGTCAAGTAACATTTTGGATTTAGTTAACTATAATAACTCTCTCTCTCTCTCTCTCCCTCTCTCTCTATATATATATAACTATAAGATTATAATAATAATAATATATAAGAACTATAAGAACAATTTGGATTTAGTTAACTATAATAACTCATATATATATATATATATATATATATATAGAGAGAGAGAGAGATACTTAAATATTTTATATTATATAATATATAATGTTTTATATTATATATTCTTTTATATTTTGCATTTATATATTTATATATAAGCTACAAAAAGTATAAAAAAGCAACATAAAAACACCACAGAAAATCAAGCACGCCTTCAGGGATGTGTGTGGCTTTTGGCAGGATTATGTCTGGATTAGTAATGCTTACATGCCCTCATCCTCCTGGTCTAAGGCTAACAGGTTCACTTTGAAACCAGGGTCCACATTCGAGAGTTTCTGCACCTCCATTCCGCCCATCAGTTTAGCGAGCAGGTTGAGCTCCTCTGTGGCCAGAGGATTGGGCGTTGTGTCTGCCTGTCCACAACATGTTCAGATTTTCACACAAAAACACAATGACATTCAGAGAACACGGATTTGCAAAGATAAAATTTCTATAAATCTACATGTTACCAATATAATAGTATTATATTATATAGTATAATAATAGTATTAGACTTAAGCCTGATTTGTTTTTTTTTCCTCAACATGAGCTGTACTTTTGGAATCTTGCATGATGCCTGCAGTAAGGGTGTACCTGCTTTGGTTTCCTTGTGCTGTTAGAGGTGGTTGATGGATCCATGTCTTCAGGTGAAGGTGTGCTGTACCTGTACAGATGTCAACAGAGATTCATATATATACAGTATATATACATATATATATATATATATATATACTGTATATACACACACATACAAACACACACACACACACACACACACACTACACTCATACGTTTGTGGTCAGTATGATTTTTTTATAATGTTTTTGAAAGAAGTCTCTTATACTCACAAAGCCTGCATTTCTTTGATTGGAAAAATACAGTAAAACAGTAATATTCTTAAATACTATTACAATTGAAAATAATTGTTCTCCATTTTAATACATTTTAAAATTTATGCTAAATTTAATAGAAATAATAATCGGTTGTAACAATGTAAAAGTCTTTTCTGTAACTTGATTAATTTAATGCATCCTTGCTGAATATAACTATATTTATATTAAATAATTATCTCTTTAAATAACATGGTTAATTTATTTTTATATTACATTTTAAATATTCTTAAATATATAATACAATATATTTACTACATTCTATTTACATATGTTTACAGTATTGGAATTTAAAAAAGCAGTTATAATTTTTAACTATTAATTTTGATAATTACATGTTGGTGCCCAAAAGTGTGACCCTGTCCCCAGAGAGGTCAAATGAGCCCTGGTGTACAGCACTTGTGTAGCTTCCTCCACTGGGAAACCTTGTTCTCCTCACCTCTCGGCCTTTAGCATTAAACCACCTGTGAGACGAGAATGTTTAAAGGAATTCTGAAGGAAGTGGGAAGGAAGGAAGGAAGTGAAGGAAGTTTGCATATGGGTGTGTATGACTGTACCAATGTGATCTTATTTTCATGAAACCTCTGTGTTTCCCAGTGAAAAGCTACTGATGAAGAACTCACTATAAGGATCCTGCCTGTGACCTCTGACCTTCATCTGCATTACCTGATTAAACCAGCCATTTGGGTTCTGGATTTTTTCTTTCAAGAAAATCGAGACCTGATGAAAGAACATATCACAACATCTCAGTAAGTGTCACTACGACCGCATGACAGAATGCCTACGCTTGAATGTTCTTACAAAAAAACGTCATGACTCAGTGATGCTTTGCATACAACTGTATGATCTGGCAGCGATCCATTTCAAACGCTGATGACAATAAGCTTTCATAAACAATCTGCTCGCCCTGATTTGCATATCTTGAAAGAGAACCAGCAGCATATGTCGGATGAGTTGAAACTCACCATCAGATAAGGGTGTGTATACCTTAGAAAGAGGTGCTTTTTAAATTTGGCAAGTGTGCACTAGAAATAGCAATAACATTGGCACAGAAAAGCAACTTGATGTGCAATAGATTCTAGATAGAATTACTTCACGACTAGAAAACAGTTCTTAAGGAGATATAATTATATATTTTGGTAAGATTTACACCACATTTAGAAACTAGGAGAAAACTAGTTATTGGTGGGCGACAGTGGACTTTTACCTCAATAAGCTGCCTCTGGGCTTCACTGATCTGGTTAACTAGGCTGGGATTATCCTTAACCAGTTCCTTGATGGTGTCTGTGTGGTTGAAGGTGATAAGCAGTAAATCTTGTGGACGTGGACTCAGAACGATCTGATACTTAAAGGCCATAGCCATCAAATCGTACAGCTAAGACAACACAAACTTAAACAGGAAATTGGTAATAAATATAGATTGTGAAAATTTTTGTGCCACATAAGCT